AATAATAATTAATGAAAGGTTATTTTTTTCAATTGTTTAATATTCAAATTATTCAATGCATTTCCATTTTGCTTATTTATATCATGGATCATCGACATTATGCAATTACATGTATAACTAATACAAAATTAAATGTCATCCCTTTCTTTTATTTCTGAGAACGTCCACTTCTATTTATAGATAGACTGTATAATCTGATATTTGTTTTACAACAATGATAATACAACGCATTGCACATTTTGCACACAAATATGATAATAATGGTGTAATAACAACTTATTCAATAAATTATATTGAATTTAACATCTACCGATTAGTATGTTGCTCTAAATGAATATGTTTCACAAAGAAGACGCTGTAAAACGCAAAGCATCCTAGTGGGAAATCGATTTACTCGATAGTCGCGTACGTTATTGTGCCTTATGTGATTGTTTTCACCTATATGTCTAAGATTGTGGTTTCTATGTATTACTTGAATGTCATTGTTGTTTTATCTACCTCTATGCACCTAAAGTCTAATAATGAGAAAAAAAACTATGAGGAACATTATATATGACGTTGAAGGGTTTATCATTTACATGCAGAAATTGAAACAACCACGGACAATTTTCTAAGTTTAATCATATTACAGCTGCATACATTTAGTGCACAACCTACAACGTATGGCATATTATTCACTCCTTTTTGAAATTGCTATCGAGAGACCTTTATTTCAAATTTAAACATATTAAATCAATTGAGAAGACCATTAAATATACAATATTGGAACTAAAATCTATTTTAAACAATCATCGTTTTTACATAGCACAAGCACAACAAAGGAAAGACATGAATTATATAACTAAAATTGAAATAAAAGGTCAGGGTGTAATAGTATGCAACCAGGGTGCACAAGTTTTATTACGATATTATCATATCAGAATGCTGGATTGATAAGCCATATCTACTTCCGGAAATTTATCAAGAAAAAATGGGTATTAACCGTTTCTGTCAATGTATGATTAAAGTCATAGTTCCAAGTTTCATTGTCCTGACACTGCAAAATTAAGACGAAAGTAGTTTATGGATGTTCAAATCTCGTAAATCGATTATGAAGCGAAATATCAATGAAACAAACAATCAATTAGGGAATCGCATAAACTCCCATAGTAGCGAGGCTTGGTGCACTTTCTGCTATGTATGCATCCACTGCAAACCGAATTCACACTCAGTCAAAATGACACAATTGGTAAATTACAAATCATGCAAACAAATGTTCAGGTATCTTAAGATCTAAGACCACCAAAACACCAACACATTATATCGACCATGCGCGAGCGTGGCGGTTTAACTGAGACATGTAAACGCCATACGATGTAGCAGATGGTATGTTTCTTCTGAGAAATTGGAAGTTGACAAGCAAAAAGTTGAAATTATAATTTTTGTCATCCAACTTTGACAATATCGAGAAAAGATTAAGATATGACTCAGACCTTCTATTTTCGGTAGAATCCTCAATCTGAGGTAAACTCTAATATATAAGATGTAAGCACTCATTGAAATGTGGATCATTGAGTGACAGAACATTACCAATATATTTAATTGATGTTTTAATCTGTTCTTTTTCATACTTTTGAAATATCTAAACTTTTAAAACAAGCTTTAATAGAGAAAATATGTTCGTCTTATTTTGTGCCTCTTCTTAATCATGTTAACAAACAAACACATTTATTTAACATATCAAATGGCTTCCATATCAAAGATCAAGTTTTTTTTATCTTTAACGACATGCAACATTGCGTAGTTTTGTCTTATTTTGTTAAGAAATTTATTATGATTAAAATATTGAAATGCGATAAAAAAAAATTCGAAATGCCAATTATTTAAACAACATGTTCGTCTAAACTTATTTGTGATCCTCAATTTATTTTAAGCGTCAATTAATTATTATCAGTTAAAAATATGTCGTTATACGAGATATGCTTCACATTTCATCCTGGGATGTCATTTTTCTGAAGTATGCTTTGCATTTACATAAAAAGCATATTTCACGAATAGTTAGTATAACATTTCTTCGCCCAGGAAAACACAATATTTTGGTATATGTGTTATCTCTTAAATATTCAGTTACAACCGTTTGCTACTCCTCTATGCATTGTAACACGATCTGCGTACTCTTGTTGTGGAGTTCGTATTGCTTAGCCTTTGCCTTTAGTATTTTATGTAGTGTGGACTTGTTTAGTCTTAGATATATGATTTGTGTATTAGTTGTAATTGGCTTTGAACTAGCTGTCAGTAACTTTGAGTACTCTAAGATCTGTACTCAGTGTCTTTTTTGTTGTCAGGGATTGATTAATACCCTGGCACGTCCGTCGATGTTTTTGTTAGATGTTTTTCTTTAATTATAGACAATGGTCTATTTAATTTTGCAACCCCTAAATCCCACTTATTCTAGACATTTGAAGGTTTTTTAAATACAGAACTTTCCTTGAAAATAACGAAAACCTGAACCACGAGAAATATCTTTAATTTAGAAGTAAGGGATTATTTCACAATTGAATGAAAACAGGAGTAAGATCAATGGACACCATTGGAATTAATTCTAAATTCTGACATTCTGATTGGTCGAAATTCTTAAAGAATAAGAGGTAGTTTCTGTACGTGTAGAATTAATTCATATTTTGTCTTATGTTTAGGGTAATGAAGCTCCATTCTATTATTATATATATTTATACCTTAATGATTATGGTTCTTTAATTGTGTAAGTAAATGAAATAAACGCTTTGTGAATTTCGTGCGTTTGGGGCGGTTGTCTGCAGTTACTTTCATCAGGAACGCTCAAACCTAAGTAGTAAGTGACATTTCTTTTTAAGTTTCTCTTGAATTTATTCATAACTTATATTATCCACATGTAATTTTATTTAGCTCTATTCTATTGTTGCATAAATTTATATGTAAATGTCACTATATGTTGTAATATTGTTGCCTTATTCAGCTGTAATCTCCATACATCTTGTTCTATAATCTATTTAGCTCCACGTAACATTTAAATTCAGACAAGACAATAACGATTATGATGAATAAAACATACTTGAATTTGTTAAAACGCTGTCATAAAAAACTCATCAAAATACTGGGCTTATATTCATGTTTGCCAGACACACGCTTCGTCTGCAAAACACTCATCAGTGATGCTCTAATCAAAAGCGCTAAAGACCAAATGTTGTATTGGTAAAAATACCTGTCTATCGCTGTATTTTGTGTATTTAAACATCTGTTTGTTTTCGTTTATCATTTGTTATTTTCTAATATCACTTCATACTAATTTTTAGTTTTTATTTTATTTTTTGTGAATAAGGAAAATATCATCTTTTTTGGAAAACAAATTTAAAAATAATGTTTCTTCGTTTAACAATGCATGATGAATTTTGCAAATATGAAGATGATAGCAGACATGTAATCATTTTTGCTTAATGGTTCAATATCTCCCTTAAGGAATCTTTATGCCAATCATGACGCGTTTTCGTAATCTTGAAATTTGCGGAGGTGAATAAAAGTGAATAAACAAATGTCTATTGTGGAAAAACATCTACATTTCGACAACAGTGTCATGCCGTGACTAGGCGAGAATTGTACAGTTTATCAGTTAAAATGTTTATGTTTCAAAGTGTTATTGCAAGTTAAATACCGATACTCATTCTCTTTCTAACCAACTAGTAACTTCTACAATAGGCAAGTGTTGTTCCAATATATTAAACTCTAAGAGGCCCGGGTCTAGAAATGTTGTAAATCAGTTTAACATAGACTCAAAAAGGTATAGCATGAACATTGAATCAACTACAGGATAAAAAAATAAGACTGCAACTAACTACGAAATCCAAATTTTGAAACGGCACTCTTGCATATGATTTTATTTCAACAAATATTTAAACAATGGACGGGCTTTGAACACTCGCTAAATACATTTTTGAACAAAAAGCGCTGATTGCATATTGCTTAACAAGATTTCCAGAAAAAAAACAAGTTCTGTTCTTTTCCACTTTATCCGTTAAATTAAATTTATACTGCAAGCAGAATGAATATTTTCAATCTCTTTTTTGTAATTGTCAGAAATAGTGTATATCCTTGATAATCATCTACTATTTACACAAATAGATTCAGTATAGGATTCTGGCTAAAAGTTTTCTTAAATTTAGATGTTTTAACAAAGATAAGAATTAACTCAATATTAAACCATGATTTCTAAATTGTACGCCATCTTGAACTTCAATGTCAATTTATTTGTAATATATAAATATGGTGATGATAGCTTATCTGCAGGCATTTTATTATGTGCTTAACTTATACACTATATGATCTAGAAACGTCGTTTTCCCCGGAGCTGTCGGTTAGCTGTTGTTGGTATGTTTTGATATTTTTGGTAATTCTCGTCGTCTTTTTTATGTACGACATATTATTTTTTGGACTCTTGTGTCACAACCGCTTTATAAATGATATCAAAACGTTGTTTTGGGGAATTATAATGTAACGAATATGTTTCTATTTCGTTCTGTATAACATGTATCTCCTCACAAAATATATATTTGTTTATAATGTTTTGAAAATTAAAGATAATGTAACTTGTACAGGTCAATAAGACGGCTACACAACGACTTAAAATAAAAGATCTAAAGGTCAACATACGATCTTTAATTATAGACAATGATCTATTTGATTTGGCCATCCCTCATCCCACTTATTGTAGACGTTTGACGATTTTGTTGATACAGAACGTTCCTTAAAAAATAACGAAACCTGAATCATGACAAATAACTTAAAATTAGAAGTTAAACATTATTTCACAATCGAATGTAAACAGGCGTTGAATCAATGGACACTATTGAAATTATTTCTCAGTCTGACATTCTGATTGGACGAAATTCTTATAGATTAAGAGGGTGAACATTACACAGTTTTTCGTCAAACAGAAATCGATATGTAATCGTTTATCAGACTGATTACGGAATTTGTTTTATTTTCAGCATTTATCTGTTACCTTCTTTCTAACAACAATTGACTGAAAACGGAAGAAGACGTCGATTTTTAAGCCAGGACTTATTGCTGCATTGTGGATGATAATCAAACCAGGTAATGTAATATAAACTATTTATTTCTATTTAAACAAAACATCAAACAACTTCTTGTTATGAATGAAGATTTTTAATCCTTTTGGTCTATCAATATATGTTACAACGTTTCCTATAACCTGGAATTTTAATCAAGTAGTGTGTTCAACGTCTGATGAAAAAAGTCAGCTAAACATTGGTAACTCAATCTGCCACTCGGTAAAACAGAAAAAGCAAGATGATAAATGTATTTGTCCTCGAAACATTATTGACAATTTTTTTTTATTGAAGTATTAATTTGCTTTGAGAAATAGCTATGACAATATCAAATATAACTAACTAAGATTGTAAAAGCCACATATCTGAACATATTGTATATTAGTTAACAGGACGGAAAAATTAAGGTAACAGTAATATACCGCTGTCCGAAAGTCATAAATTGATTGAAAGAAAACAAATTCGGGTTACAAACTAAAACCGAGGGAAACACATCAACTATAAGAGGAAAACAAAGGAACAACAGAAACACTGAGGTGCAACAAAAACGGAACAGCCTGATTTATGTACAAAACAAATATGATATTCAGCAACAAACGACTACCACTGAATTACATGCTCCTGACTTGGGACAGGCAGATACAGAATGTGGCGGGATTAAACATGAACTAGTTGTCTGAAATATTTAAAGCTAAAGAAAACCCTCCATCCCCTCTAAAAAAACTTTAAAGCAAAAATCGGGAAAACAAAAACAAAATACAAAAAATCAAAATACGAATAAGAATAAACTCTTAACGAACAAAAAATTTCGTGATTTTTGTAGTCTTTAAACATGCAAATTGTTATTCCTCAAAAAGTAATGATTAACAGTAGTATATTTATAAAATGACATTATTTCTTTAGTGATTTGATGTGTATGAGGCGTTTCTTTTGATTTTTGTTGATGAATTTCATCAGGAGCTCTTAAACACAAAACTTTATGAGCCAATGATATATCCTTTATCAACACGTTGATGAAGTCAAATAATAATGTTTTTTTTCGACAAATGATTTGTATTGCCATAGGGTGTACTTATCAACTGGGTTCCCATTGCTTAACGTCAAATTTTTAAAAGCAACAAACTATGAATTTAGTTATCGATTTAAAAAAACACGTTAATTCTTGATCAAATTATAAGCATCGTTTAGTTTATTACTCATAAAAATGTATCGTCAAGATAATTGAATATTAACAATAGTATATAATATCTAAATAACTCATTATATACATTTGTATGCAGCTATTTAATTTTACCAGGTATGATACACGGGTAATATAAACATGAAAAGCTTTGAACTTATTAGTAGAAAAATTATCGACATCTGCAAATAAAATATTATCCCCTCGTACTTTTAACTTGCAGTGTTGTTGTTCATAGTCATGAACCTTATCCGTCCTGATTATGATTTTATACTGTATGTGTATGGTTTGTTATCTCAGTAAGTGACATTGCTTTGGAACTATAAACATCAGTCATACAAATTGAAGGTTTAGCTACATGTAGCCAGAAAACCAGGTTTAACCCACTATTTCCGTCGGAAAATGCCTGTACCAAGTCAGGAATATGGTGGTTGTTTTTCACTTCTTCCGTTGATTTATAGCGTTTGATATTGTTATTTTTGATGGAATTCCCCTTTTGAATTTGTCTTGGATTTTTTTTTGTGTAGATTATGGCGAATCCACTCATGACTTATCTTGTCTATAGGTGAATGAAGGTCCATTCTATTGTAGTATATATTTCTATCTTAATATTTTTTTGTTATATTGTTGATGTGTTGCTGTTTTATTCACCTATACTCTGCATCTGGTACTGTTCCTATTTAGTTGCACGTAATATTTGAATTACGACAATAAGACATTCCTTGGTTGCGTTCAATGTCGTAGCAGCTAGTATAGCCTCTATGTCTTAGATATCTATCTGTGTTGAACGATATGCTACGTAGCTACGCTATCCAATTGACGTCACTAATGATAACCTATCCGACGCCATTTTGGATTCTCTAAATAGCATAAACTTTTTATGCTATCTAGATCTATTTAGCGGCTAGGCTAGCTTTATGTTCGGTAGTCGCAATCTACGTAGCCCTACGTAGCAGCTATGATATTGAATGCACCCCTGATAATAACGACTAATACTACGTACAGGTAATCGTCATTTTCTGATATAAATACCTGATATTGAACATTTTGAAGAAGTTTTGATTTCCTTTCTCTTTAAATCTACATCTTTATAGATGCATTCACTTTTCTATAAGTTAATTTAAAAGTTAATTGTTTTATCTTTTGAAAAACCAACTTGATAAGTTTAACATCGAATGATGAGTTTGTAAATGTTTCAAATAAAACTGACATGTAATTATAACTACTGAATCTTTCAATCCTTCCCTAAGGGAAACCGAATGCCAATCAAATACCGTATACGTACTCTTGAAATTTGTTTTATTTTAAATTAAATAGACAAATATTTAACGACCGAATTTATATCTCCGCAACAGTTGTCGTGGAGTAACTTGACGTTTAAAAGTTAAAATGTTTACGCTATAAATTATTATTGTAAGTCAAATATTTATTTCTTATTACTTTTTTTAACTGACTAATATACCTACGGTATACACAGCACAAAACGAAATCCCAGGGTATTGTGTATATAGAAGTGTGATGTTTTCCTGAAATAATTTTTAATCTAATGATATATCAAATTTACGTGAATGAGACAACAATCCAACGTTACAAATGCCCGACAGACATCTAGAGGTCAGTATAGTCTTTTACAATAAAAAGTGCTTTAAAAATGTGCCAATCTATTATCGAAATGCTGTGAGTTAATTTTATCAAAGACTAAAAAAAGTTTGAGAAAAAACAATTCTACCGCAGGGAAAGTACCGATTATCAGGTTGTCTGCATATTGATATTTTACAACACTAATACGTGACAAGCTTTGTTTCCCGATGAAACATTAAATTTGCAACATTGAACGAGTTAAACAGGATTTAAACACACAAAAATGTTTTTCCGTCAAACTGCGCCATCGTCGATCATATGCAAGCTTAGAAGGCTTACAGACTATTTTAAGAACAATTGTCGTCATGCATTGTTAATTCACTATGTTTATTCTCTGTTTTCTATCGAGTCCTCAGTTACAATATGAAAAAATCACATTGAAAATTATCATCATCTGATACCTTTCAAACTTTTGTGATCTTCGACTGTTTCATTACATCGATTAAGTATAGGATTGTATTTTGTAATTTATCAACAAAGTTAAAACATTGTATGGATTAAATCAATAAAATATTATGAGCAATCTAAAATTTCCTTGTTCAAGTACTTATTCTATATCAATATCATGTTAGAACATATAACTGGACTGCAGCTATTTCATTGTGTGTTTTACCTGTGCGACATATGTAAAAGAATAGGAAAGAAACACATTTGTGCGCACGAACCCTACCACATGTTGTTCCTTCACTAAGTCAGGATGTCCATACTGTGTGCCGTTTGTTGCTGATCGTCCTCGTTTGTACGTCTTTTTCACCCGGAACTGTCGTTTTTTGATAGTTGGTCTGGTCTTTCGTACTGTATACGCCATCAACCCTTTTTGGTTTCTTTTTTTTTTTTCGAATTGATAATGCACTTATATGTCTCAATACTGGATGCTATATAAAATCTATCTCCTCCCAAATATCAATCCATTTATAATTTTAAAAATGAACAAAGATGTAGGGTAGTATATATATGTGTGTCATTTAGAGACAGCTACCCAATGACTGATACACTTAAAGACATATAACGTTCAAGTAAATATACGATCTTTGATTGTAGACAATTTTGTATTCAAGTTGTGAAGCCCTTAATCGCTCACATGGAAGAAATTTTAAGTATATATCAATACAAAACGTTTCATGCAAATGATTGAAACATGAATTATGACACATATCTAAACTTTATAAGTAATGACTAATAATCAAATGTAACAGATCGATGGACACCCTGTCAATCATTTCTAAATCTAACATTACGATTGGTCGAAAATAAAATCTAAATTCTTACATATAGAGAGAATGAATACAGTACAAAAGTTGTATTTTTATCAAGCAAAAATCGATATATTAGCCTGATTATGTAATATATGTACTTTCGGCTGTTTATATGTTCACTATCATTTAAAACAATTAATTCGGTGGAAGGCATCTGTTTTTGAGGCAAGATTTATTGCAACATTGTGGAAAATATTCGAAAAAGGTAATGTAACATAAAATCTTTATTTTTATTCATCAAAATATATCACACTACGTCCTGTTATGGATGAAAATGTTTAATAATTTTGGTCAATCAAAAATGTAAGAGTGTCTCTTATAATTCTACAAGAAAATCATGTAATTTGTCAAACGTCAGATGTAAGAAATAAATGTCTTTAACAATTTATTCTTAATATGCTTTTCGTATAATAGAACTACAATATAACGCTGATACAACGGATTTGAATTAAACAAAAGCTGTTAAATTTTTTTTAAGTGTTCATTTCGTCTATCTCGATGGTGATAATGAAATAGAATAAGATTCATCATCATAATGTTTTATTTTTTCAATGTTTGATGAATGACTGCTTAATATTGAAAGCTTTCCTGAAAAGATTCATATTTCTTATTTCCAATCTAAAAATTTTTTTTTTTCAATTTTTTTCAGTATATATAAATAAGATGTGGTATGAGTGCCAATGAGACAACTAGCCATCCAAGTCAGAATGTGTAAAAGTAAACAATTATAGGTCAAAGTACGGCCTTCAACACGTAGCCTTGGCTCACACCGAACAGCAAAATATAAAGGGCCCCTAAAAGACAAGTTTAAAATAATATACTTAAACTTAAATTTCAAAACCTACTACTAGTAATTCGTCTCAAATCCACTGTTATCTTAAGTATTAAGTGACCGTTTTAAACTATCTTTATAAATGTCATTGATATTCCTATCTAGAACAAAATATT